AAAACTTCTTGGAAAATCTCCCATTAGAGTTGTTCTTAGTGTGGTGTAAACAAATGTAAAATATATCTCAAAATGTTAAGTTGGTACGACTGAAACAATTTTACTTTACTAAACAAACCCGGAGTAGTCTTTTGATACGAGATCGTGATAATGGAAGTTTATAGAGACGGGCCAGTAATATAACGGGCCTAGATTGAAAAAAGCTCTATTAAAAGATGATACCATACACTAAACAATATAGAAACACGACACTACATATGAATTGTAGCCAATCAACAATGTTATAGCACCCCCAATATATTGTAAAGACGGGTCACAAGTTTCAGACACTACTAAAGTACTAATCTTTGGAAAAACACTTCAGATCTGCTTGTGTCACATACATATGAACAAAGAGAAGCTAAAACAGTGCTGTGAAGTCTATCTAGCTGGTTCCTCTTACATGGACATTGTTGTTTTCCTTTCTTTTTTTTTGGAAACCATTGTCTTCTTCTCCCTCTCTTACATTTTTTCCTTGCAAAATTGAAAAACCGGTACGATTGCTTTCCCTGTTAAACATTTAAGCTTTGACTAAAGTAACCCATAATACACTGAATAAACTCCTTTCCAATGTTCTACGAAGTTGATCATATTCATATATGGTTTACTAGTAAGTACACGATTGGTTTTTTTTTCTTTAATTATTTGAACTTAAACATTTATAAGTAACTCAAAAAACTAAATGGAATGTAAAACGATTTTTGTAAAAGCTAAAAGTTTATTTTCTTCTTATGATACGAGCTACATCGTGATTATGTAAGTTCGTAGAGCTGGGACAGTAATAATTAACCGGGCCAAAATATAAATAGATCCATTACAATTTACAAATATTGCACTAAACAAAATAACATAAGACCACTTCATATACAAAAATGGCTAACCAATCGACAACTTTATAGATAGTTGCTTCTCTGAACCACAAAACTTATCTATTTTTACAAAATTATCGGAATACTACGAAGTATAAACTCATAGAAACCTATACTATTATTCTATGACTATTATATCCCCACTTCACTGCCACTGAAAGCCACCGTAAGCCGGCCAATTTTTAAACCACTCCTCTTCCTCTCCACCTCCTTAAAACCATTAAACGTCGCCGTTTTCATTTCCTCGAACCCGAGACGCGGTCCACAGCCACAGCTCTTAACCCTAGTCACAACTTCGTTAGAGGTTCGTTTATAGTGACCGAACCACTTGGCTTGCATGTAACCGTTCCTCCTCCACGGCGGCACGTGAATCTTAGCTCGCTTCATTGACCGCCTTATCTCGAAGCACATGATCCTCACAAGCTTTTTCAGCTCCTCTGGTGTTCCGACAAAGACACTTGGCAGTTGAGCTAAGAGAGAAAGGTATCTTGTCGTAGGCCGAGCAATCTCGAACTCTCCTGCAAGATTTGTCTCGATGATTAAACGGTTCTTATCTCCTTCCTTAATGTCGACGTACTCGTACTTCCCAGCTGTGTTCTTGCCAAATCTCTCCCACCGGGACTTGCAGAGACCTATACATCGATTCATCTTATCATTTTAGAAATCACATCGAAAACTTATGCTATTGTTACATACAATTTTAGAAGACCATGAGCTTCAGCCTAGTGTTTTATGAATTGTTTTGGGTCAAAAATTATCCAACATAATTAATTTTCTTTCTTAACCCTACTCACTATTTAGTTAGAGTTTACTCTAGCATACATGGATTTCACCCTTTTAATGATCCAACAAAACTGATACTAGAGTATTACTAGCAACATTCACATCTCTATCCTAATGTTAGTTCTACATGTCACGCTTTATTGTGTATGGTGAAAAAATGCTTTTATTAGGCAAGAACTCTCTATAAGAATCAAATCACCAATCTCAAAGCTCAAATATGTTATCCTTCTTGACAAAAGCAGTTTCAAATCTCAATATTAAACTTATTTCTCAATCGGAACCACCCCTCTACACCCAACCATTCATTTGTAAAGCTTAACTTTCTTTGCAATATATCAACCACTAACAAAAACAAAATAAAATCAAACTTTGCGATGAAAAAATAAAACTTAAGGTGTATAAGAGTCGATGTAAAAATTCTCTCTCAAAACGGATTTGAGCTCATATTATAGAGTCTATTGAACAAACTTAACACATATCCCGCAATCAAATACATACAAGTAGTCAATTACAATTTACAAATGTAAATTTCCTCCTATAAAGATAGAGTAATATAGAGAAGCAATTACCTGCATCAAAACCCTTGTTACGTAGAAAAGCCATCAAGTTGCGTTTTTCTCCGATGAACCCTATAGCATTCACCGCCTTGACCAATATTCTCCGCCGCTCTTCGTTACCGTGATTTTCAAGAATCCCCCGTAACCTCTCTTTAACGTCTTCGAAATCGTCGTCCGATTTATCATCATTTTCTTCCTCAGGAACCTCCTCCGGTAAAACTTTGATTTCTCTATCCATAAAAGATTCGACCAGATCCCAAAGATCCGTTGTCTCCTCCGGAGAATGATCACTTCCGCTGCTACTATCGCACGGCGGACGTGCACGCGCCGCCGCTAAGTCGAAAGCCGCCGCTGTTCTGTTGAATCTTCCTGGAATCTGTACCATTTTGTGTTCTTTTTTTTGCTGACTTTTCCTTTTTTCAGTGAATTGGGGGTATCAACATATCTGTGTCTATATATTGTGTGAATATTATATTAAGTCATGTTTTCATTGTGTTGACAGAGACTGACTTTTGGACGGAGTAAACGACAAAATGGTAAAAATATGACAACAGAGTGGTGTAACGATGGTGAAAAATGTTAGCACC